TTAATTTGTTCATATAAATTGCTTCCCGAATCCCTTGCAGTTAAGATGTGTATAAGATCTTCATGTATAATTGACAGTCAGGTCAAGTTCATTAATTGTGCTGTGTTAATTTCTATAACCATCCTGATTTTGTTTGTCTGCTTATTCACTAATTACTGAGACATACTTGTTAAAATTTCCCACTATCATTTGGATGATATTTCTAATTGCACTTCTTTTAATGTTTCCTTTATCTATTACAAAGCCATGCTATTAATTTCATACAAACCTAAATTGTTACATCTCCTTTTTGTTTTAGAGTCTACTTCATGTAATACTAATCTATCTATAACAGTCTTCCTTTGGTTAGTGTTTGATTATGTATTTACTCTCCTTTTACTTGCAAAAGTATCCTTACGCTTTAGACCTGTCTCTTATAAAACACCATAAGGTTTTCTTTTAAGTCCTGCTTGATAATATTTTATCTGCTTACATTTAATAAAATTATTGATATATCTATCATAATTTATTCTATCTGTCCTACTGCTATATGTACCTTCCTTCCTCTCTTGCCTCCTTCTGGGTTACTTTCCATCATTCTATTTTTCTATAACTTAGACATTCTATACTAAAAAACCCAAACAAATGTCTTTTCTTATAGGTTGCTCTAGAGTTTGGAATATGCATCTCTCATTTATCAACGTGCACACACACTTTTCCCTTCTTCCCAGATAATACATATATTTCACTCACAAACTGTAACTGTATTTATCCCACTGCCAATTATTATTGCCACTTATTTTAATTGTCTTTTAACCCAGTAAAACATTATTATTGTTGTTTAATAAAGTCTACATTCAGTTGACTTACCCACATATTTTCTACTATTTTTCTTTATTCCAGAAACTCAAAGCTTCCATCTTGTATTTTCCTTCGGCTCAAATGATATTCCTTAGAATCGCATTTAGTGTGGGTCTCCTGGTAATTATCAATAGTAAATACTTTAATGGTAGGATATCTGGAAATGCTTATTCCCTCTTCATTCTTGAAGGGTATTTCTGCCAGCTAGAGAATCCTAAATTACCAGTTATTGTCTGTTAGTGCTTTGAATATGTTCTGTTAGTGCTTTGAATATGTTATTACATTGTTTCCTGCTTCTATTGTTTCCATTAAGAATCTCCTGTCAGTTTAATTGTTGTCTTTGGAAAGTAATTTTCATCTGGCTGCCTAAAGAGTCTTTCTTTTTTTTTTCTTTTTTTTAAGATTTTATTTATTTTTCTTTAGAGGGGAGAGAGGGAGAGAAATATCAATGTATAGTTGCCTCTCGTGCGTCCCCTGCTGGGAACTGGCCTGCAACCCAGGTATGTGCCCTGACTGGGAATCGAACCGCGATCCTCTGGTTCACAGGCCCGCGCTCAATCCACTGAGCTACACCAGCCAGGGCTAAAGAGTCTTTCTGTTTTTCATCTGAAGCACTTGCCTATGATGTGCTTCCTAGGTGTTGTGTTCTTTGTGTCCACTTTGCTTTGGTTTACAGGGCTTCTTAATCTGTGGTTTAATGTCCTCACAGTTTTAGGACTTTCTTGTTCATTCTCTCTTCACCTACTGCCTCTGCTGGCTGCTGTCTTTCTGTCCTGCGGCCCCAAACGCACAGGTGAGAGGCCCCTTCACCGTATCACCTGTCTCTTGTGCTGTTCTTGGTACTTTTTCTCTTTGTCATTTATTCTAGATTGTGTCCTCTGATTTAGTTGATTTGTTTTCTGTTTAGTTTTACTAAATATGCTGTTAATTAATCTGTTCAGCTTTTTAATGTTATTTTGCTTTTCATTCCTAGAATTTTCTTTTGATTTTTTATCAACTCTGTTACATCCCCTTTTATAATTTATAGTTCTCTGCTAAAATTTTCAGTGTAGTCTTTCACGTTCTTGAACACAGTAAGCAATTTTTTCTTTTAGCACAGTTATTTTAAAGATTTCATTTATTTATTTTTAGAGAGAGGGGGAGGGAGGGAGAGAAACATCAATGGGTGGATGCTTTTTACGTGGCTCCCACTGGGGACCTGGCTGGCAACCCAGGCACGTGCCCTGACTGGAAATCAAACCAGGGACCTTTTGGTTCACAGGCTGGCACTCAATCCACTGAGCCACGCCAGCCAGGATTTAGCACAGTTGCTTTAAAGTTTGGTCTGATAAGGCTGATGATATCTGGAAAATCTGTAATCTGTTTTTGTTTTTTCCTTTTTCTGCTGGTCATTCACGTCATCATGCCTCCTTGTATGCCTAGTTATTTTTGGTGTGAGCCACATATTACATAGAAAAGTCTCTGTAGTAATTAAGGTCCTACATGATATTATCTTAGTTTAGAGGGGTTTGCTTCTCCAGGTTCCTACTACCACCTTATTTAAATTTCAGGGATTGAAGTGACTTGAAGGTTCATCTCCAGCTAACCCTTATTACTCTTATAGAGCTGTAGCCTTTGTGGGCCTCAAACCAGTGAGTAGAAGCTTACTGGCACTCACGGTACCCTGGGAAGCCATGAACCCCAGCTTTTTAAGTTTCATCAAGAGATCTGCTCCACCTCTGAGTCCCCTCTTGAAATTCATGCATGTCTTCAGGAAAGAAATGATCTCAAATGTTGGCTGTACCTCTCTGGACTTACGTCTTTTTCCAGATCTCAACCTGGTAATTCTTTATTACTTTGTTAGCTTTCTGAATACCTTTAAAGCAAGTTTGAAAACTATTTTGTCTAGCTTTTATAGTTGTCTTAAGAGGGTTGATTTAAACCATCTAGTCTGGCATTATAAAGTAGAAATCTTTAGTTTATACCACTTCAATAAAACTAAAATTGTACTGTGGTTTTAGTGTGGCATCAGGAAGAAATGAAATTAGAAGTATGTTCAATTAACCTTCTTAACCTAAAAAGTTATTATTCATTTCCTCTCAAAAACAAACTTTTGAACCATATATGTCATCTTATATCCATATACTTTATAAAAAATGGAAATGAGAGGATTCTGTCAATTTACTTTTGCATTTAATAGAGTATCTAATAGATTTTCCATATCATCCCCCAATAGAGCTCTACATTTTTTTTAGTAGTTGCACTTTATATCATTCAATCTAACAACAAATATTTACCTACTATGCTCACTGGTGAGCAAAAACCATTTTGTTCCAGCACTCAGGGAGTTTACAGTTAAGTGGGGGTAGAATATGTTAATACTATAATAATCTAAATAGAGGCAAAGTTTCAACTCTATCAAGTGGTAAGGAGAAGAGGAGAAGTTCGCATCATTGATAGGAGAGGTTTTGGATCTAGTGAAAATTAGGTTAAGTTGAACAGGAGCCAACCAGGAGAGAAAGGTAGAAAGGAGACTTGCATAAATATATTTCATGGAGAGTATCTATCCTATGGAGAGATTGTAATTGATTTACCCTTCCCTCCACTGAGGGACGTGTAGAATGTTTTGACTATTTTGCTACTACAGGTGATACTTCAACAAATATTTCTGTATATAATTTTTGGCATAATTTTATAAGCATATCTTCATGATAATCAAAAATCCTTTTTTGATACATATAATAGAGTTCACAATAAACTTATTTCCACTTTGATCTGAATGTAAATTTTATTAAATCTATTTCTTACCTATTTCACCTTCCACGAACTTAAATTTTTTATTTTGTTTTAAGTTTCTCCTGGCTGCACTTTTTGCTCAAGAACTATGTCCCTTGTGGTGCTCATCTATCTCATGAGTAGAGGTGCTCACGGGCCCTGCGCCCCTGCTCTGCACCTCCGACGTGGAATCTGAAGTGGAGGTACGCGCAGGACTCTCCTCTGCCTTCTCTGGGCAGGGTAGGCATTCTCCAGTGTGTAGACGGTTTATCCCAACAGCTGAGTGAACACCTTAGCCCAGAGCTTGGAGAGGACGAGACAGCTAGAGGTTTGTGCTTAAGTGCCATCATCTTTCCTGAGTCTTCTGCATTCTCTGGTAAGTTAGGGCCTACCTTTAAAATCAAACCTCCCACAACACGCTAGGGAAAAAATAGTTGGCTACACATGCAAGAAAATGTTACTGTATTAAGATCCCTCAAAGGGCAACAAGAAGAAAAACAGACAAACAAGTATGCACATAACCCAGTAGAAAAATGGGCAAAAGGTATGAACTGACATTCACAGAAGAGAAATAAACATGGTCAAGAAACACAAGAAAAAAATGTTCATGAATCATCATAAAAATACAAGTTAAAATTAAAAACACACAGACTACAAAATTATAATAAACAGCATGGGAAAAGCACTGTGAACTATGCATCACACACACAATGTAAACTGGTACAACCCTTCTAGAGGTTATGGGTATCAAAAGTTTAAGCACTAATTGACGCAGGTGTTTAATTTAGAAATTTACTCTGTGGCAGTAATCAAAACAGTGTTATTGCTCGTTTCCTAGAATTGCTCTCTTTCCTTTCATATCACAGGTCAATATCTGACATATCTACTATCTGTTCTCCCCACTAGAACATCAGCTTATTGAGAGCAAGGATCAAGCATATGACAAAGGTTGGTTGTTGACAGAATGTGCAAAGATTTATCTGTACGACCTCAAAACTGTGAGCTTAAAACAAAAAGTTGGAAAAAGATCCAATATCCAGAGGCAGGGGGTTGATTAATTGACATGGACAAGTACATAATCATTAAAACTTAGTACACACACAAAAAAGTCATGATAAACGTACACACATAAATGTCATGATACTACTGCATATTTGCTAAAAAGAAAGCAGAGAGCACAAAAATATATGCAAAGATAAAAGCTAACGTAGCATATATACCAAGATGTTATCAGTGGATCTCTGAGATGATAAAATTATGGGTGCCTTTATTTTCTTATTTGTGACTTCCTGTATTTTTCCATTAAACACAATTCTTTTTTTAATAAGAAAAAATTATTCAAAACAAATTCAAACAAAACCAAGACTTCCTCATTTGTAGTTCAAATGCGGGAAAGGCAAGTTTACCTTCAATTTCATCATCAGAAATCAACTCGTCATCAGAGCATATGTTCAGAATGTTGACCAGCATCTCTGTGACTGTAAGATAAAACAAAGTAGCCCCAAATTCACACGATTAATTAATGTACTTTCTCTGAAATGATGTGGATATCTAAATAAACATACTTGTTACACAAATATATTTAAAATGATTCAGAGTACACACACACACGCACACACACGCACACACACACACACATACACACCTTCTAGTTTATATAAAATTTGGGGAGGTTACTTACTCCAGAAACAGCCTGGAATCTTTGAAGATTCCATTGCATAATTACTTGAGTCATTGGACTACTATCCAGAGCCTTTTCTTCACTAATATGCACCTTACTAATGGCTTCCTCCCATTTTGCAAAGAGGTTAAGCCACGAGGCCTATGTCCAGGAGGCTTATTTTATATTTGTACAGGTGCACAAATAAAATTCTAAGGACAACATTTCCTGTTTAAATCTCTCTGTCACTGAAGAAGTCACTGAAGGAACAGCATAGTGACATGTCACTTTAACATCTTCATCAAAGCAGGACAGCTACTCTAAGTTGATATTTAGAACAAGAAAAGCATAATGAACTAAACTTATCATTGAAAAGCTAATTAGTGCCATTTAAAAATCCTCATTAAAAAGGAAAACTAGAAAACACTTCTGACAACTCTGAAAAACATTTTTGAACCACTGAAGGACTCATGCAAATATAAACGTGTGCTCTGGCCACTGGTTAAGACAACTGACGGTCTGTATGCTTTAGCTCTCTTACCTTTTTCTCCAACGAAGGGCAAAGACCACGTGAAAACGTCCATAAAGTTTGGAAGCCAGTAGGGGTGTGGAGAACAGTTAAACTGCCTGATATTCATGACATTGTTTTCATATTTTAACACAGCAGCTAAAAAGGTAAAAAGCAAGAGACTCTGGCACAGAGGAACAAGACATGGCAACTGGAGTGTTTTGCACAGTATGCACTGGCCACACAGAGCTCAGGGACTCCCTTTCCATTGGTAAGTTCAGGACTCAGCATTTAAGGGTGGATGGGAGATCTCAAAGCATTTTACAATTATATACATTTCATTCTTTTAAGAATTATCCCAAGGAACAAAGTTACCTGAAGAGCAAAGGTAACTGCGCTCTGTGACTTCACAGAGTCACTGCACAGTAACTACCAAGGGAAACCTCACATTCTACCTGAGGAAAACCGGTCATAATTTCCCTTTATATGCTAAATAGTTAAAATTGCAGCTCTCCTTTGAGGGCAAACATTTCTCACTCAATGGACACAGTCTGTTTTGCTAGTCATTAGTCAGAGCCAAAGATTTTATAAACTCTTTGGGAGTTATTGACAGATAGTAAATTTAGAGTAATTTATAAAGTTCAAAAGTAGATTAAATAATCTCTACATACAATATAGTAGATATAAAAAAATGTTCATCTCTCCCATACACAGTCAGTATATTGCTAAATTCTATGTTTAATATTAACCAGTTCATAAATTTATACATATATTTTGGTACCAAACTTATTTTTTTATATTTAAAAAGTTTTATTGCTCAATTCCTTTCTCTTCACCATCAGCAATGCAATGTTGTTTGTATTATTCTCTCAATTATTCTCCCTGTGATCATACACAGACCGGGGTACAACAGCTCTCTAGACATGACAGATGGAGGTCATCTCCTGATTACTCTTTCTCTGCTTATCACAGAACAGCCAAGTGCTCTCACGTTTAAGTTACTGAATGTCTAAAATGTACACCATAGATTATAAAGAAAAATACATGAAAACAGAATGTCTAGCTCTTACAAATCTAACACTGACTACAATGTACATGTTCCATTATTTTCGTGGACTGTGTATTTTGTTTAGGTTACATGAATATATAACCATTCAAGAGTTTCCTCGGTCTAGGGAAAAGGGGTGGCAGGTGGGTCTCAACAGTGGGCAATTGAAATTAGACCTTAAAAACTGCTCTGGGGTGTGTTTCTAGTAGACACAAAAAACAGAAATAGAAATCTTGAAAAATCATGACTTAAGGGTCTTTCACATAATCAGTGGAACTAAGAAATACCTCTTGGTACCAATAAGTCTACAGGTTGTTCAAGAAAGGGCTCTTGCAGCCAAAGAAAGAGGAGTTGTCTCTTTCAAGAAAAAAGGTGTGTATATGGGGAATAACTACGTACTACCAGAGATTATTTCAGGGGCCATATTTTCTGCCTCTTCCTACAAAAATGCTTAAGAAACTTCCAAGAGGAAGAAGATTGTTTCAAGATAAAGTTACCAATCATGTCAAAGCCAACAGAAAACTCAGGGGGAAAGGACTGTGACCACAAAGCTCACTGCAGGGATCATCGAGAACAAAACCACGTGCATGAAGGACACGTGGACAGAGCCACAGGGGGGTAGGATCACAGGTGGGAAGTTGGGATGGCTGGGGTTGGTGGGAGTGTTAGGGGGGAAATGGAGACAACTGTATTTCAACAACAATTTTTAAAATGTGAAAAATAAATAAATAAATAAACAAGAACTAAATCAGACTAGAATGGGGCAAAAAGTGACTTGGCAGTCAGACAAGGAGCTGCTGACTCAGGCAACATGGTTCATCTTAGCACGTGATGATCCACCGGGCAGTCAACACGGTTGATTGTAAGTTTAAAAAGGGAGTGAGATGGGTGAGTATTCACAGACATGAAGACGGGAACCACTAATGGTCCCTGAGGAAGTTTAGCAACGTTAGCAGGGCACACCATTCAGACGGGAGGAGACAAGAACAAAACCAAGCCACTAATATAACTGGGCATATTAGGGGGAAAAAATTCCAAGAAAAAATGGAATTAGGGAGAGCCAGAGCACTGTAGGACAGCTAAGACTCAGAAAAGGATGACAAGACGTAAAAAGAAAACATAAAGCTGGGAGAAAACTTAAGTCAAAAACAAAGCTTTTTAAAAATGAACAGCAAGTCACCGAAGGGTGTGCTGAGATGAGAGAGCCACGCTTTAAAGGTGCTGTGCCAAACCACAGCTCGTGTCTACATCGAGTGAACAGCGGGACATCGTGCACCTCTTCTACACTTCCTTCCCCAACTGCGTGTACAAGGTATGACTATAAAGTAACGAGACTTAAGAAACCACCAACTACAAACACACAGACCTTATATATCAGATGAGCATGGTCCTTTGATATAATTGCACCAGGCACAGTAACAATAAAATGTTACCATATTATAACAATTTACAATTTGATGATTTTAATTTCACTTGTATTATTCCAACCTATCTTCAACCCCATATAACAGGCATTTTAAAGATGAACTGAGGCTCAGGGAAATGCTGTTAAACGTGGAATGAACTTAAATGCAAAGGGAAGTAGCTCGTTAACTGAATCTCAGTGAAGCAGGACTGCACCAGGACTTCCAACTGCTAGTTCAGTGCCCTCTTCCACACACCTTGCTGCCTTACCGTGTATTTAACCCAAAGATGCTGCCATTACTCAAAATGTTTTTGGAACTCCTCTTTTGGAATTGCCTCCAGAGCTATTTTCTAAGCAACACAAGGAAAACCAGTCTCATTACCTTATGATCATACCTTGTGTCTGACCCCAAATGATATCAGCTAGCTTGATCACTCACCTTATTTATCAGTCTTCACTCCGAATGACTTTTGGCTGTTCCAAAAATCAAATCCACCCTCAAAGGACGAAGATTTCCCATCTTTGTGGATACTATCAAAAGACTGTGTCGCAGACTCTGAAGGCAATGCCAAAAGAGGAGTTCCACAAACGTTCTGAACAACGGCAGCATTGTTGGAATAAGCATGTAGCCTCCCAAGGTTAACTACTTAAAGGGACAATACTCACTTGGGTATGTATGTTCTGGCATGTTTGTTTAAAAGTTCTATTATTTTATAGTCATACTTTATAAACACAAAATAGTTGCAGAGGCATGAACTTTTCAGGTGAACCACTGTCCTGAAACAAAACTGAGGAACTATGACTCATAAAAGTTAAATTAAAAAAAAAAGATTTCAATTACAGGATAAAATTTTACAAGACGAATTTTGCCCTGAAGGCATCTGTATATCCAGCCTTCTTTTTCTCTATGGAAAAGTGAAGCTTAGGGAGATTATGTGATCTACCTGAAGTCACGCTATTAGTTTCTGGAAGGGCTTGGACTAAAATTAAGATTTTTTTCCCCACTTTTTGTATATTACTCATTTTACCTATACCATTCTTCAGCAAGAGCAAAGATAACTTACTAATTCACAAATATTAAAACACCAAATAGTAATATTTTATTGAGGTACTGTTATAAAATAAACTCACTTAAACCAATAATTTATGCTGATGGTTCTTACTTCAACCTTGAATAATTTATTCTTCTTATATTTTCATTCAGTAGTACAACTCAGACCTAGTAGGGTCACTACTGATCTGTACCAAGAGCCCTCTCAGGATATGAAAACCAAGCAGTAGTCTAAACTCTGAGTTTCCTGGCCTTTATCTCAATTAAAACTTCTTTTTCCCTTGTTCAAAGTTTATATATATATATATACATATATATATATATATATTTAAAATATCCATACACATACATATAGTTAAACGAGAGTTTACATTTACTCACAAATTCAAACTCAAATATCGCTGGACTCCTTTACCTTTATTGTTATAGACATCTAGGTAATTGGGGGCAGAGAAAATTGTAATGAGTGATGGGAAGCCTGTGGTCTGGCTCTTCCTGTACATCCGATACCTGGAAGAGAGGTAATAGCCCATCTGTCTTGATATCAAAGGCAAACCTTGGTAGTGATATTTAGTACCGTTTTAATATAACTTACCCGGCATCTTGGGCTTCATGGGCTCTGATTATTGATAACAAATTATTATTCTGCAAAAATTCACAAACTGCGGGGTAACTGCAAAAGATAATTAGAAAACATAAATCCAGAATGAAAACTGATATCTTTTTAAAGATCTTATTTATTTATTTTTAGAGAGAGGAAAAGGAAGAAAGCGAGAGAGAGAGAAAGAAACATCAATGTATAGTTGCCTCTCATGTGCCCCCTACTGGGGAACCTGGCCCACAACCCAGGCATGTGCCCTGACTGGGAATCGATCCAATGGCCCTTTGGTCCACAGGCCAGCCCTCAATCCACTGAGCCCCACCAGCCAGGGCAAAAACAACTGATTTTTAATAGGAGAAAGGGAATAACTTAGAATGGCATGAGTTGACTTTGTTTTGAAATCATAGCTTTTCTATACCTCTGAACTTTTTTTATCAATAGCTTAGCAATCATCATTTGTTTTTCCATTTCACTAACATCCCTCATTCTAGGTCACATATGCAGATACTAGACAATCCTAGGACAGAAACGGGGCTTCTTCCTTTTAATTTTTTTTGTTCTAATCCGTAACAATAATAGCATAACATCAAAAACTGTTCTTGCTATCTTGTGTCCTGATATTTGAAAAAAAGTAGCATGGCGATTTGTGTGTGTGTATTTATAGGTGCTAGAAACTGAACACGCAGTTTTCAAACTGTCAAACTGTTAGAAAAATTTAAGAACCCACTTAAAGCCTCATAGATATATCAACACCAACATAATATTATGCATTAATATTTTAGGCATAAGTGTAAGTATTACACCAACCTTACTCTAATGAAAGGTATGATACTGGCATCTACTCTTAACATATTCTTTAGTACTATTATCTTTCTGAATAACAAATACCTGATAAGAGGAACTACAGAATACAAATTATCCTGGAATTATCCAACTGTTAATTACTTAGTTTATGTTTAAATCTTTGTTTCTTATTGTGCTCATTAGAAAACACTAGCTTTTAAAAGAGGCTACATGAATGGTCACACGGTATGAAATGGAAAGACACAAAACAGGGTACAGTGAAACGCTTCTCTACTTCCTACTTCTATCCTTCCACTACCCTGGAGGCGGCCAATGCCCCCATTCCCTGGAGTCCACTTTCTGAGACACTATATTCACCTTTAAGCAGTTACCCACACACACGCATGCCCACCCCGACTTTCAGAAATATTATCAGATGGAACACATAGCTCTGCACTCTATCTTTTTTTCAGTTTACATTAGTGAATATTCCATACCAACATACAAAGGGTTTATTTTCTTTTTTCATTTTTAAAAAACAGCCTCACTGCATTTTCTGGTACATTCCATTGTTTGGATACACCATAATTCATTTAATGGTCTTCTACTGAACATTTAGGTAGTTTTAAATCTTTTATCATAAATAACGGAGCAACAAATAACCTTGTAACAGACATTTCACACGTGCAAGCCCAGCGATGCCACCTGCGCGCAGCAGCTCTGCTCTGTGAAGTGGCTGCAGACACCGAGTCAGTGAGCACTGATATACCGCACGGCTCCCAGGGGAGACACAGGGTCAGGGTCCCAGGAGCCTCTCTTGGTCACAACATCTTCATCAACCGATCAATAAATAGCTTTGTTCTATGTGTGTCTGAGTAAAGACACCTTGTTTAATTTGTACTGTTAATACATAATACGTCGTGTTGATTCATGAACATGGAACTCATGGCCAACAGCACCACAGCTCATGCCCGGACCAAGCTTATAGAACACACAGGTATTTTCTATACAAGGCACATCAGAGCCTTCTTGCGCTTGGGAACACAAGACAGCACCTCAGTACTATGCTTGCGGCTGTTTTAAACGGCAAAATAACCAACAAAAAAACGTGGAAAATGTTACACTACACAGGCCTCAGAAAGAAGACCTGCTTACAGCTACGAGGGCTGAAGCAGGAGGCAGAGCGACTCCTGTCCCACCTCTACTGGGAACACACGGGACTGACACAGCTTTGGTCCCTCTGTGCACACCCACGTCTGTGAGTAGCTGTGAAAGTGCTGCGAGCCCTGATTTGGGGTGACAAATAAATCTTAGCAAGCAGGAAAACATGCAAGTTAGAATTTGTGAATAATGAAGATCAAGCACATAGCCACAGGATTATGATTTAGAACTAGAACTTCTGGATCAAAGGCCATGGGCGTCTATAACAGAGAGATATCGCCAAGTGGACCTCCACAGAAGTTGTACCAATTTTTATTGTGCTGAAAATAAAGAAGTATTTTAAGCAGTGTAAAGCAAAGTCAAATTTTGACGATTTTATCACATTAGTCACTGCTAAAGCTGGCAGGAAAAAATAAAAAATAGTTGCTAAAGAACATTAAAACTATGGTAAAAATGAGGCTTCTTACTGTTTGTGTGTGGATTTCATTTAGTGAATGGATTACCCTAGGCAATTAACAGGTTTTTAGAGAACTAAGTTCATGTATTATTTGTCATAATAAAATATTAGGGTTAAAAAATTTAGACTTCAAACCTCCTTATATGCCCCTGCTTTTGAGTGGCCGAGCACACTGAACGCTTACATATGAGATTTAAGACAACAGCCAACTTCCAGGAAATGTCCTGAGTTCACAACGTACTGTTCTTTTTATATCTCTGCCTATACCAGTAGTTCCAAAGGCTGGAGAGCTTTCAAAAAACAATGACCGGATTGCCCCGTGTCAGATGTACTGAGTCAGAATGTCTCAGGGAAGAGCCAAGAAATCTTTTCTAAAAAAAAGTCTCTAGGTGATGTTTGGGAACAAAAAATCTAGATCATTTTGAGTCAGACGACACACTTGAAGCACTGCAAAATGTCCTGCTCAGTCATGTTCAGTATATATATTTATTAGAGCAAAACCCCTAATAAATATAAAAACAAAAGAAACAAACAAGAGTTTTCTGCCTTCTATTAAACATTAAGGGGTGGAGGGGTCAAACAAAAAAGAGAAAGAATTCATGGGTGTGGATAAGAGTGTGGTGACTGTGGAGGGAGAGGAGTGGGTAGGGCTGGAAAAGGTTACAAGGGGGATAAATGGTAAGAGAAAAAATCAATAAAAAACTATTAAAAAGGTAAAAAATTAAAAAGAAATCCATTTTGATGCTGTATCAAAATACAAACTACTTTAATTTGATTAAACATATTGCCATATCCTTTCCCAAATTTATAACTCTTCCTTTAAGAAAGATTTTATTTATTTATTTTTATTGGGAGGGGAAGGGGGAGAGAGAGGGAGAGACACATGGATATGAGAGAAACACTGATCAGTTGCCTCTTGTGCTTACTCTGACTGGGAACCGAACCCACAACCCAGGCATGTGCCCTCACTGGGAATCGAACTGGGCCCAACTTTGTAACTCCGAGGATCTGCTTACCTGTAAAAATAAGAGCACCCTCGGACGGTGTTGTGGGTATAGTGCTCCATGGTCTTTTCATTGCCATAGTCCTCTGAGGGGTCAGACCAAAGCAGGTCACATACTGGCCCGAAGGCTGGAGGTTCCTTAAACCTGTCTAACTAGAAGACAAGCAAAAGCCAAAAGAAGAAAAATCACGAAAGCAAAAGAGCTTCTGAAAACTGGTATGGGCTAAAAAACCCTCCTACCCACAAGAACGTATCAGGAGAGAAGGCTACAAGCCCCTAAAGGATTTTCCTGCAAGAAAATGAACATTTAACAAATTTAGATACATAATTTTTAGCCTTTTTTATAATACAGGGTGGGACATAAGTAGGCTTGTAGTTCATAGGGAAAAATAATACAACAATTAATAAGAAAACAAGAATAAACTTTTATGTACTCATCTGTAAACCTACTTTTTCCCTATGAATGCTTTTCTCTATCCTGCATTTTTTTGAAAAAGTAAACATCCTTGTTATCTAACCATTCTATAGAAAAGGACCCATTACATCCTAATCTTACAGCGGTATATACAGTCATTTAATTCAAAAGGGAAATCAACCATTATACAGACACACTATTATTCAGGAAAACTGGGAGGCACCCATCTCAGCTGCCTGGGTGGGGACCGCTCCCCTGAGAGCAGGAAGGGTTTCACATGAGCTCCGTCAGTTCCCCTCATTCCAATGCAGATCTCTTTATCTTAGAGTGCTGGTCTTATTTTGTAAAGGGCTTTCATCCTTCCATGCAGTGGAGGCATTTCAATCTAAGTTATTAATTTACGCTATGGTTAAAGCATAAAAACAAAACAAAACAAAAAACACTCAAAACAAGCAACAAGAATAGCTGAGTGCCAAGGACCATAGTTCTACTAAGTGGACTCAATTGACATAATCCATTCAGAATTGTAAAATTCAAGACTTAATGCATAAAAGAAACGCTGGCTGTTTAAAAGATAAAGTAGCCATAAAGGCTGTGCACACAGACACACCTCTTACCCTGAGGAGAGTAACCAGGTTTATAAACAGAAAAATCTTTAATGTTAGTCCCTATAGGAGAGGCGAGATCTACCAAGGCAGACGAGTGACGATGGTAATGCGGAACACGGAAAGTGCAGAAAGACAGGTCGTCACTTCTCAGTCATGAAGACACGGAACCCTGGAACTACTAATCACCACTCAGGAAGTGTAGCAGTTAAACTGTACCATCGCAAATGTCAAAGTCAACGGATTCCAGAGCTGGAAGAGTCTTCAGACCGTTCTGACTTCCTCATTGCAGAGAAGCAGCTATGACTCTGAGGTTAAGTGGTTTGGTCGAGCTTACACAATTAATGGCAAGACAGGGATTAGATCCCTTCCTTAGGCACTACTACAAAGTTTCAAGTTTGAGGAATATACTAAAAAATGATATGTTTCTAGTTGATACAAGCACAGATTTCATGAGAAATTACAGAAAACTTCTGGAACATATATAGCACACGTGGTGAACACAAGTCCTGTGGGCCGAATACGGGCCTCCACCTTGTTTTATCAGGCCCAGCACCTTGTTTCTGCCCAGTGGCAGTGCACCGAGCTCCCTGCCCCTAGTTAAGGAGTAGTTACACTCACACGGTCCTAAAAGTACATTCAGCCCTTTGGAGGCAACCGTGAGGCTGATGTGGCTCCAGTGAAAATGAGTTTGACATCCCTGAATATAGCAAATTATTAACAGGAGTTATCTTCAAATACTGAAATCAAAGGCTATTTCCATTTTCTTCTGATTGTGTTTAAATTTTTTCAGCAGTAAAGACATATTAGTTGACTGAAATAAAAAGCAAGAATATATATATATATATATATATATATACATACATACATACACCCGCCATGAAAACAATGAAGGATCACTTACTTTCCTAATGTCATCTAAACAAGTAATTTCAGGTGACATCCCTCCATGCACACACAGAAACTGCTGATTTAATAGGGCAGCTAGAGGAAGACAGTCAAATGTGTCCATACATGCATCATACACCTGTTCTGAATATTTGATCCGACCTGTCAAAAAAGGAAAAACAGGAAGAAAAGCTAAAATTGATCAGAAACGAAAAAGGACACAGGCCAGGTGATTATGAAGTTACTTCGGTGTCATTTACCTCAGGCAAATTTGAAAACACAGTCACCTTTGTAAAGACATTTTTGAAAAGTTGTGGGCAAAGAATAAACAAAATCCCTCTCATACTCTGAAGACAAGAGTGACCTTGGACTAACTTTCTAGCTCTGGTGTCCTGGAAACCTGATAAGGTGAATGTCAGCTGTGTTATTAGGCAATGCTGCTTATGATAAAAGTTACGCAATCGGCTGGCAGGAAGCTATAGCTTTGGACTTCTCTGAGTGCCCTGACTCATAAGGTATGTCCCTTGTGGGGCTCTGGAAGCTATGCCAGAAGTTTTACAAGAGATGTTGTTGCCTGCAGTGCACGGGGCTTCCAGGCCAGGGTGGCTCCCCAGTGCGCCCAGTGTGGACATGTTTCCTTGTCCCTAAACTGTGACTTGGAGGGGATGAGGCAAAGGGCGGTGAAGGCCACAGTCTTCCGGACTGCTTGTGCGCTCCTGTGGGGACAACGCCACTGAAAAGGGATGCCTGGTGCTGCCCTGCCTGGACAGTCTCCTCCAAAGTAGATGGAGGTCAGGTGTGGCCCATGGTGGTCTTACAAATCTGATATTTTGGGGGGTCTAAAAAGACCTCCCGGGAGTGCTGAAGATAACATGAATGGAAACTGGAGTTTTCAAAGTCATTGATAAAATAATCAATGACCTTTTTGTTCATGACTTTTAAGGTGTTTAAGAAAATTATGCTGTCGGTCTATTTTATACAAAAACATTTATCTTAATGAACTGTATTTTGATGTGCCTGTCATGTTGGGGCTACAGAACAAGGAAATGCACCACCAGGCAGAGGTGGGGTCACCACAGTTATAAAGAACAGCTCAAGAAATAATAGGGAAATGGGAAAATGGCTCTAGTTTAAAGAGAAGGAATGTTTTCTTCTTCCTTGGCCTTGGATTTCAAAAAGCCAAGCTGTGACTGGAGGTGCATGTTGGTGGAGACGGCCAGAGCTGCGCACATGGGCAGCCCAGGCAGCTGTGGGCGCCTGTCCTCCCCCACGGCCCTGTGAAGACGAGGCAGGGCCCACGGGGTCTGGACAAGAGCTATGGCTAGTGAGTCAGGTTCCCCAGTTGGTGATTCCTTGTGTTTATTTTCTTCTTTAGTCTCCAAACTTTTAGAAAAGAAATGTTTGAGTAATCACAGCCTGGCGCTGGCAAGGCTTTGGGGAATCAAGTGAAAGGTAATGGGTCCAATTTGGGCCAGAGTGTAGTACATCAGGAATGATGGGAGAGAAACCCTTGAAAGGAATGGGTAAGCCACTGGGCCACACTGAGGTGATAAGGCTTTCCATCCTGAATGAGAATATTCTCCTCACTGTATATTATGGGGTAACTAGGGTTTGAGGCCATTAAGGGGGTCTGTGAGTTCCTTGAGCAGCTTCCATAGCATCCTGTATTACCACGACAATAGTTAGTTTTTCTGACCCATCTCACAATACACGCTGTCTGGATTAGGACATCCAACTTAACACAAGCCACGCCGTATGCATCTCTGTATCTCCTTGCAATTACATCTTGACATTCTGCTTTGCATTTGAACACTATAAATTTTGGTTATTTCAGAAGTATACCCAGAATTGGCCGTAAAGTCTGTTGGAGGAAAAAAAATCAGACAAACAAAAACCCCATTTATTTGTGGCCAGTGATTGACTTTCTCCTGTAAATCCTTGTAGCCAGAGTTTTCTGTTCCCAACATCAATAAGCAACTTCTTTGTAAGAGTCTAAAATTACATACAGGCAGGGGTTTAAATTATTTACTAATTCATGTTCCACAATACCACGTTTACATCAATAAAATGCCTTTCAACTCTAAGGATGACTGAAAAAAAAAATCCTTGGTCTACTTTCAGAAGAAGGCCAAATTTGGACAGTGATGTCAGGTAATACATTTTGTATAAGAAGGAAGTAACAAAGCAAATTAAGCAACAAGAAGTTCATGTTACATTGACACATGACCAGGATAAATGATAAAGTGTTACCTTTTTTATATTCTTTAAGTACATGAATATGTATATACATACCAACATTTTTATTTTCTGACAGGTTAAGTTGAAGATGGTATCTATATTCTTCTTGGACTTAATTTAATTGTATTTTCTAGATGGACACATAATCTTTACATAGTACCGTTTATTATTACATTACAAGCATTACTGAAACCCATTGAAGTCTCACAGTGGGCTGTGCCACCAGCGAGCTAAGTGCTCAGCACTGCGCTGTGGCTGAGAGAAGGGAGTCTGGAAGCTGAGTGCTGGGATTTGAGCTGTGGCTCTGCACACTGACAAGCTATGGTGCTTCGGACAAATTACTTAAGTCTCTGTGCCTTGACTTCCTCAAGTATAAAATGGGTGTAATTATAATACCTATCTACATTATAAGGTTGCTATGAGGATTGAAGGAAATCATAGATGTAAAACACCTTGAAAAATGTTGGCCCCACAGTCAGTACTACGTAAGTTAACCAATACAATTTCCTTACTTAATCCTCATGAAGCCTTGTGAAGTAAGTACAATTACTATGTTCATTAAAGAGCCGAGGAAGTTGGGCTTACTTGCCCAAAGTTGCAAGCTACTAAGTGGCAGAACTGGAACATGAACCTATTCATGCTCTTAAAACCATGCAATGCTCTCCCCAGTCATTATTTTTAAATTAAATATTCAATGGGAGAATCTAAATGGTTAAACATATATTACTCCCAAAGGTTAAACGAGCTGACTCAAGCACTTCATTTTCATGACAGATGTTGAGATCTATGCCATAAAGCAATTATTTCTATAATGAGAAAAAAAATGTGATCATAGGATCACAGTAATATACGCTATAACTAGTATCAGTAACAACATTAACAAAACAAAATTTTCAACAACACTCTTTGAATGTAATTTTGAAGGTCAGCACTATTTGCAAGAAATCACAACCCATTCTAGCCACTGGTTATATGTTTTGATTTTACTTGTCTTTACTAATTAAATGTAATACATTTACATGGTTCGGAATTTAAAAGCTACAAGAGGAAATACAGTACTTCCTACACCCTCCCCTGCAGGGAACTTGATTTAACTAGTTTCCTGGTGTCTTTACCAAAGCTAGTCTACGCACAGACATGCTGATATGTACACATGTTCTCTTCTTACAACATCCTTTTGTTTTTTACATAAATGGCCACATATACACACTGTTTTGCACTTGCTTTCTTTCTTTTAAATTATACTGTTACACTTGTACCAATTTTCCCCCCTTTGCTCCCCCACTCCTTCAGCACCCCCACTCCTTCAGGCAATCCTCACCCCTTTGTTCATGTGCATGGGTTATGCATACGTTAAGTTCTTTGGCTTCCCCCTTTCCTGTACTGTACTTTACATCCCCATGGCTATTCTGTGACTACCAATCTGTACTTCTTAATCCCCTCACCTCTTCACCCATTCCCCACACCCTACTCCCATATGGCAACCATCAAAATGCTCTCAGTATCCATGATTCTGTCTCTCTTCTTGTTCACTTAGTTTGTTGTTTAGATTCAATTGTTAATAAATATTTATTGCCATTTTATTGTTCACAGTTTCAATCTTCTTTTTCTTAAATAAGTCCCTTTAACGTTTCATATAATAATGGTTTGGTGATGATGGAACTCCTTTAGTTTTTTCTTGTCTGGGAAGCTCTTTATCTGTCCTTTAATTCTAATGATTGGTTGGCTGGGTAGAGCAATCTTGGCTGTAGGTCCCTTCTTTTCATAACTTTGAGTACTTCTTGCTAATCTCTTCTTGCCTGCAAAGTTTCTTTTGAGAAATCAGCCAACAGTCTTATGGGAATTCTCCTGCAGGTAACTAACTGCTTTTCTCTTGCTGCTTTTAAGATTCTCTTTATCTTTACCCTTTGGCATTATGATTATAATGTGTTTGGAGTGGGCCTTTTTGCATCCATCTTGTTTGGGACTCTCTGCTCTCTGGTCTAGCATGTCTATTTCTTTCACCGAATTAAGGAAGTTTTCTTTCATGATTTTTTCAAATAGATCTCCAATTTCTTGTTCTTTCTCTTCTGCCAGCAACCCTATGATGCAAATATTGATATGCTTGAATTTGTCTCAGAGGCTCCTTACACTATCCTTGCTTTTTAAAATTTTTTTCTTCTTGATGTTCTGATTGGCTGTTTTTTGTTTCCTTATGTTCCATATCGTTTTGTTTCTCAGCTTTATCCATTCTACTGTGGATTCCCTGTAAATTATCGTTTATTCCCATTAGTATAGCCTTCATTTCTGTCTGGGTCTTTTTTATGCTGTTGGATACTAAGTTCCTTAAGCATCCTGAAAACCAGTGTTTTGAACTCTGCATCTGACAGATTGCTTATCTCCATTTTGCCTAGCTGTTTTTCTGGAGTTTTTACTTGTTCTTTCATTTGGGCCATGTTTCTTTGTCTTCTCATTTTGGAGCCTGTCTGTGTTTGTTTCTAGGTATTTGGTAGAGCTACTTTGACTCCCTGTCTTGGTAGCATGGCCTAATGTAGGTATCCTGTAGGGTCCACTGGCAGAGCCTCTCCTATCACCCAAGCTAGGTACTCAAGGTACACTCTCCATGGAGGCTGAGTACACCCTGCTCTTGTAATTGAGACTTGATTGTTGTTGGTAGGTCAATGGAAGAGATTTACCCAGGTCAGTCAGCTGCGAGGACTGACTATGAGCACTGACTACCAACCTCTGCCCTCTGTGGAGGATCAGCCGTGCAGCAGCAGGGTAGTGGTGCTCTGACGTGGTCTGTAGGTGTCCACTGGGTGTGTAGATTCTGGGGTTACCCAGCGGGGGCAGACCGAAGTCAGCCCTTACCTGTGTTCTGCTCAGGGCCAACCTGCATGAGCTACAAAGCAATCTGAGATGGCTTTGTGCTGGGCTTGGAGATT